TAAACAGTCTGGGTGAACTGAGGAAGTTTAGTCTTTAACATTAAAACATCTAGATTTCAGATGTAAACACCTCAGTTTAAAAAAAGCAATGTTATTTCCCGTGATATGTCATGGTTTCTACCATGTCAAATGATACGCATGTGCCAGTTTTCCCCCATTTAATATAATCCTGCTCGTTTTCTCAGGTTTGACCTGTGTGTTGAATGGTGTCCTGTTGAGCAGCCCCATGCATACCTTCATAGCGCTGTCTCAATGTGTTATGACCATTAGGAACAGCTCTGGGGCAATACAGAACGACTCAGGCACCATAATGGAAACTAAATGTTTCTCTTTCTGTGGCTTGGGAGAGCACTTGGCTTCAAAAAAAAGTTCATTGTGCCCCCGATGACTCTGAGAGGCTTTCAGACTCAAACTGTGCAGAGAAGCAAAGCCGTCGAGCCGAAAATAAAAAAACAGAGAACAAAAATAGCAGAAATGATTATGGGAAAGATCACATAATGATAAGAAAGTGTCAGATCTTTATATATATGAGACATTTTTAAATAAAATCTGGGCTTTTTCCCAAAACAGCAAGTACGCAAGAACTGTTCTATCTCTATAACCTGTTTATAAGTAATATAAACTGAGCTTTCTTTTAACACTATTTACCTTAATAAAACATGGAAGTATACAAAACAAAACGTCTAATTCAGACATGCATTGCGAATATAACATTATTTGTGACTCTAGACCACAAAACCACGAAGAAGTGTTTGTTGCATGGGTATGTTTTTGAGAATAGCCCAAAATACACTGAATAAAATTATTGATTTATCTTTTATGCCAAAAATGATAATAATACTAACTAAAGACCATGTTCCATGAAGACATTTTGTCAATGTTATACGGCAAATATATCAACATTTAATTTTTTAATTAGAAATGTGCATTACTTAGGACTTTGGACAACTCTAAAGATGATTTTCTTAGTATTTAGATTTATTTTGAACCCTTAGTTCAAATAGTTAGGGTCTTAACTAAATCTTAACCAAATATTGTCCTATCATAACCAAAAATACAACAACGGAAAGCATATTATTGGTCCAGGATCAGATTTATGAAAGAAAAAGCAAAAACAAAAATAAAATTAAATTAAATAAAATATTAAAAATAATGGAAATAAAATAATAAAAAAATTCAATGATATTAAAAAATTATAAAATGTAAAATAAAATTAAATTAAAAATTGAAAAAATAAAAACCAAAAAATATAAATAAAATTTAATAAAAACTAAAAAACAGAATAAAAAAATAAAACTTACAAAAAAATACAAGTTAAATAAAATGAAAAATAAAATAATATAAAAAAATTATTAAATAAAATTGAAAATTTTAATTAAATAAAAGATTTAAGAAAATAAAAAATATATAAATAAAATATAATTTTAAAATAGAACAAAATAAAAAATAATAAAATAAAATATAATATAAAATAAAATTATGTAAAATAATAAAAAATAAAACAAAATAAAATAAATAAAAAAATAATATATAAAATAAAATAATAAAAACTACAATAAAATAAAATAAAAATCCTCAATGTATTTTTTAGGGGGAACATATTTACAACCTTAAAAGGTCCTTCACTACTACAAAGATAATCAATCAACAGCTGGTGCCTGTAAACTAGGAACATAACTCAAAAGAGTACGACTATTACGCATTCGAGCAAACATACTTCAGTCCTACTTTATAGCAAATGATCCATGTGCTATTTTGGGGAGAAACTTAGTCGTAAAATAACATATGACCCAAGTTACAGCGATCTTAGGAGCATGATTTGCAACATTATCCCTGGAATGTCCATTAGAGAGATGCACAACTTCCTGTTTTCCCAATAAAGGTGAGCTCACGGTGGGTTTTGTGCACTCAGACTATCCCCGAGTCAAGATTAATGAGGCCGCGGATGGAGCGCTTGTTTGCACAGCCTGTGATCTCAGCGCTGAAGAACTGAAACTGATAGTCGGATGTAAGCATTGCCTCATGGGAGGACTGATCGGGTCACCACTGAAACAAACTCACAAGAGCACAAGCTGCAAAACACCATCTTTGATAGTTTAGACGTGCGTGCTGGTTTTCTGCCAAAATGTGTTTATTGTGAATTGAAGTTCAAAGCTGCACCCTAAATATTGGACGATGAAAAGCGATGTCGGCGGTGATGGTGAAAACTGTGTGCATCAGACGTGCATTGGAGGTAAGGAGCAAACAGCTGTTGCATGGATATGAAAGATGCAGAACAGACGTGTATGAAGCTTGGCGCCCGCTGTTAGCCTGAGGTTAACGGGCTGAGTGTGTGTCATTTCTGAGAACAGGAGACTCCGTCGCCATCACAAACACAACTTTTCCCTACTTTTAGAAATCATGCATTTACACACACTCACACACAGGGATATTTTGGTGAGGTTTGGTGCATTTCGATGGAGATGATCATCGAATGTGGCCTAACAGTGCCATCTACGTTCAGGGAGAGGAAATAACCTACGTTGATGTTCAGGAATGTATTCACTATCGCACTGGTTGCACTGCAACAAAAAATAATAATAATAATAAATAAAAAACGTTGCATAATTTGAGTTTTGTCTTGTTTATAATCCAAATATAATAAAATATTTCTTAAATCAAGAAGCATTTTCTAGACAAGTAAAAATTATAATTGTGTTTTCAGAAAAAAAAAAGGAAAAATTAAGTGAGTTTTTCCTTAAAAGAAGTTATACATTTTCTGCTAATTGAACACTTTAGTTTAACTCACTAATTATGCTATTTATACTGGCTTATTACCTGCTTATTATTGCAATATTAACCTTTTTTAGTATTTTAAATTATTATTATCTTTTAAACTCAGTCGATGTTTAAGAATGTAAGCTATTGCTTTGGTTGCAGTGCAAAAACATAATAATTACTTCTTGTTTGGAGTTTAGTCTTGTTTCTAGTCCAAATATCTAAAAACTATCTTAAATTAAGAAGCATTTTCATTCATTTTCTTGTCGGCTTAGTCCCTTTATTAATCCGGGGTCGCCACAGCGGAATGAACCGCCAACTTATCCAGCTAGTTTTTACACAGCGGATGCTCTTCCAGCCGCAACCCATCTCTGGAAAACATCCACACACTCATTCACACACTACAGACAATTTAGCCTACCCAATCACCTGTACCGCATGTCTTTGGACTGGGGGAAACCGGAGCACCCGGAGGAAACCCACGCGAAGGCAGGGAGAACATGCAAACTCCACACAGAAACGCCAACTGAGCCGAGGTTCGAACCAGCGACCTTCTTGCAACAGCACTACCTACTGCACCACTGCCTCGCCCAAGAAGCATTGTCTAAACAATTAAAAGATGCTGTATTGTTTTCAGAAATAGCCAAAATTAAGTGAGTTTTTCCTTTAAAAACAAGTTAAAAATGATCTGCCAGTATGCTGAAAATAATTGGTAAAATAATCGGTAACACTTTAGTTTATGTCATAGTCACTCGCTGTCTTCAAAAAGAGACTGAAAACTCAACTATTTAGTCTCCACTTTCCTTACTAATATGCAATTCCCTATCTGGCTCCTCCACTAACTACAAAAAACACTAATCTTTTGCTTCCCTCACTGAATTTACACACCTGAAACTTGCCTACAGCACTTACTCATTGTTGCTCTTATAGTTGTGTAAATTGCTTCCTTGTCCTCATTTGTAAGTCACTTTGGATAAAAGCGTCTGCTAAATGACTAAATGTAAATGTAAATATTCACTACTGGCTTATAACCTGCTTAATATTGCAATATAAACCTCTTATGGTATTTATTAAGCTTTTTTTTTTACCATGTTGACGTTTATGAATGCATTCGCTATGGCATTGGTTGCAGTACAAAAAAAAAGTTTTTTACTATGAGTTTTGTGCAGTTTCTACTACAAATATATAAAAAATGTCAATCAAAACTCTTTTGTTTTCAGAAATAGTCAAAATGAAGTGAGCTTTCCTTTAAAATAAGTTATAAATGATCTTCCAGTAGGTTAAGAAAAATAAATTAGTAACACTTTAGTTTAAGTCACAATTCATGCTGTTCTCGACTGGCTTATTACCTGCTTATTATAGCACTTGTAACAGTTTTTTGGTAGTTTTTAGTAATATGATTTCATTCTACACCCCTAATCATACCCAAAACCTAAACCCATCCTCCAGCATTCATTTATATTAATATATTTACTGAGCTAATTGCCTCAGTTACTGTAATTGGTTGTGAACAGCACAAATGGTTACTTAAAGTGTTACCAAATAATCTTATTTCAAAACTAAAATAAGATTTTACTGACAACATCGGCAGATTATTCAGCTTATTTTAAAGAAAAACTGTTGTACTTTACAATAAGGTTTCATTAATTAATGTAAGTTAATGTATTTATTAACATAAACTAATAATAAACATCTTATAGAGCATTTAATAATGATATTTTAACATTTAATAATGCATTTTTAATATCAATGCTTGCTAACATTAGTTAAAGCACTGTGAGTTAGCATGAACAACTTTATTTCCATTAACTGACATCGACAAAAACAAATAAATACTGTAATAAATGTAGTGTTTATTGTTTATCCATGTTAGTAAATGTATTAACTAATACTACCTTATTGTTTAATACTTATTATTATTATATTATTATTATTATATTAACTGTTCATTATTAGTTATAAAGTATTAGCTTATTCTGCATCTCTAATCCTTCCCAAAACCTAAACCCAGGTTTATTAAGCTAGTAGTGTTTATTAAGTGGTTTATTAAGCTAGTAGTGTTAGCTAATACTTTGTTAATACTGTGAATTGTGATCTAAACTAAAGTGTTGCCAAAAAATCCTTTCTGATGTACAATTTATTTGGGATTTTTACTGGAAACAAGACAAAAATGCTAATTTTTTTGCAGTTTCTCAACTGCTGGGCTGATTTATTAGTTGCCCTTTGGAGCATGAAGAGTTTACCTTTTTCTGCAGCACATTGACCTTGCGTTCCTTGACGTCAAGCATGTCTTTGAGGTCGTGAATTTCTCCGTTGAGCGTGCCTTTCTCCTCCGACACCTCTTGAATCTGCTTGCTCTTTTTATTCAGCGTGGCCTCCTTCTCCTCCAGACGCAAACGCAGAGCATCGACCTGAAATGCGCAGGGAAAAAGACATTGGTACAGATGCATGAAGTGACAGCTAACGTGCCTTAAAACACTATTATTCATGACATTGTACAGGAACGCACTAATACTTGGCCAGTCAGGCCACATTAACCGTCAGCTAAACTCCATGAATCACATGCTGGCACTGGTAACACTGGATTATGATAAAAAGTGTGATGATAGACTAACTACAGAATTAAAAGCACACAAAGAGGCCATTCATAAGCCTCTGCAATTTCACAACAGCGCAGGAAGGTGCTCGATACAATAGTGACACCTAAAGGTGAGCAGGAAGAACTGCATTGAATACAACAGCTTTTTTTTAAGCGACAAAAAATCATAAAGGGAAAAAAAGACATCCAACGATTATCAATATAGGCAGAATATAGTGGGTTTTTTAAAATAAATAAAATAAATAAATCAATAATACCATAGTATAACATATATATATATATATATTTATATTGTTAGCTATTTATGATGAATTATGTAAATTTACATCATTCTTTTTATTTTCTTTCTTCTTTTATTTCAATTTTTTATATTTGTTTTTATATGTTTTACACTTGAAATTTTTTTATATTTGTTAAGAAATTTACTTATTTTTTTCTGAAGCTTTAGTGTCCAATTACTAGATCAAAGAGCTTTTATTTGATAAAAATATAATTTTTATTTTATAAAAAAAATTATTGCTGCCCCTTTCTACTAAAAACCCAAAACACAAATAAACATAATAATTTATACATTAAAAACTTAACTTAAATGAACTTAACATAATTTATAATAATAATAATAAATAATAATATAAATATTATTAATAATTAATACATAACATAAAGGTTAATAATAATACTACTACTAATAATAATAATACTATTAATAATAATAATAATAACACTAATACTAATACTAATAATAATAATAATAATAATAATAATAAAAATAAACCGATAATATAAAGATTGATAATAATAATAATAATTATTATTATTATTATTATTATTATTATTATTATTATTATTATTATTATTATAGAAATATAAAGATTGGTAATAACAATAATCATAATAATAACTAATATAAAGACAAAACAGAATTAATAATAATAATAATAATATTAATCATAATATAGATTAATAATAAGATATAAAGATATAAAAGTAATAATTGTATTAAAATAAATATATAAAATTACTATTCTGATATACTTGTCATCTACAGTAATATTATGGCTACATAACAACACTGCTAAAATCATTCAAATTCATTTAAGTAATAATAATTTTAGGTCAATCTATTTTGAGAAACTGATTTGATCAATTTATTGCAATGACTTAAATTAAAAAGAATATTTCACCTAGACATTTTAACAGTACCTTGAACCAAAATAAAAACAATACATTTAAAATAAAAATATTTAAACAAACTTTAAAAGTTTGTTTTAAAGTTTGATCTTTGACAAATCTGTATGCATTTTGTTTTAGAAAGAGTCAAATAAACTAAAATATCTTGTTCCTGATTTCAATGATAGTGGCCATTGAACACTGTGGACACTGGGAAAGTAACTTATGATCATCCTAGAAGTTTCAGTTAAAATGGGTAGATAAACAATAAATAAATCTTGGCATGGCATCATTTTCTGGGAAATTTTATTTTGATGAAAGGGAAAAATAGGGAATAGTAGGGTATAGTAGGGAAAAATAATGAATGTCAATTTATTCCCATAACAAAACTCGCACCTCAGTCTGCAGGATGGCGGCACGCTGTTCTTTGGCAGTGAGAGACTCTTTGAGGACATCGACGTGCTGTTTGCTGTCAGAAAACTGATTGGTCAGGGTCTCCAGTTTAGTCTGCAGGCCCAAAAGTTCAGAGTCCTTCCTGGACAGATCCTGCTTCACCTGGTCAATCTGTGCAACACAAACAGTGGATCTGAAAACTCAAACTCTTCTAATGTTTAAATCGTAAAATATATACACAAATTAGGCTGGCAAAATTAATTGATTTGT